CAGAAAAATAATTATTTAAACATGACTCTAATTTTCGACTAAGAGCACATTTAAATAATTAAGGACAGTCAACAAACCTTGAGAAATCGACTATTATAGTTACTGCCTACATATCTTATAACGATAGACTGCAGTTTAAGATTGGTACAATCAGATGCTTTATCAGCTAAAATTGAACAGTATTTTCTATTATTGATTTTAGAAATAAGAATCTTCTCAAAAGCCTTACTACAACACTCAAGTTGATTTTGAGTGGTTTAAGAAATAATGTGATATTTTCAGGGGCTGATAATAAATGATCTTATAACATTGTGTCACCTGCATAAATTCTAAAATAAATAAGTTCGAAATTATTTCCTTTAACTCTTTCTTGAGGACTCGCTTATTTTATAGTCTCCAATATTGTATTATATTTGATTCTAATTAATAATAAAATTAACTTATAAGATCGTCTTTAATTAAAGCTTCAATTTGAAGGTTACAATTTTTTGAAGAAATAAAAATGAAATATTTTAATTATTTACATATATAGCAAAAAATCGCTTACATACCTCTGTGGCAAAAACATTTTTTACAATATTAAACTGTTTAATAAAATAATGATGTTTTAGATAAATGTAATAAAAATTTTAAAACAATAAGCACAGTTGTAAACTAGTTGCAGTTATAAAAAGCTAGTTGTTTTTATTACAAATATAGTCCGTGAAAACATATATATATATATATATATATATATATATATATATATATATATATATATATATATATAATATATAATCTTGCATGGTATATATAGTCTTGCATGGCAAATATAGTCTTGCATGGCAAAAATTATCCTTTTTTTTTTAAATGATAGACTGCCTGCCCAAACCAAACCCTCAGTCGATGTAGCAGCACTCCCTTGCAAGTTAGGCTATTTGTCACTCGATGTAGCAGCACTCCGTTGCGAGTCAGGCTATAAGATAGTCGATGTAGCAACACTCCCTTGTAGCAGCAGGCTATAAGGTAATCGATGTAGTAACACTTATGTTACTACATCGATTAAATTTGGTTTTTGTTTTATTAAAAAATAATTTTAAAATGCATGTTTTAAAATTATTTTTTAATAAAACAAAACCAAAAACTAAATTAAAAAAAACTTCATATTCATTATTATTGCATTATTATTTTTTTTTAAAAGCATATATATATATATATATATATATATATATATATATATATATATATATATATATATATATTTATATATATATATATATATATATATATATATATATATTTATATATATATATATGTATATATATATATATATATATATATATATATATATATATATATATATATATATATATATATATATATATATATATATATATATATATATATATATATATATATATATATATATACAACCGAATCTAGCGGTTCAAATAAACAAGGCAGGAACTTGATGAAAGTAAGTTGAACTAAAAAGTAAAAAACTAGTCAGTTTAGCACTAGCCAATGCACGCAAACTGAGAGACACTGAAAAAATCAAAGATGTCTATGTTAACCCATACAAAACTAGTGTTTAGCGAGCAATCGAGAAAAGGCAGCAAGAAGGAAGAGATGAATTAAATGCAAATATGAAACACCAGGATAGCATGGGTAGGCGTTGTGTTGTTAACAACGGGAAAAAGTCTTTTTATGATGCGAGAAATGGAGTTCGGAAAAAATTAACAGTAGAGCTATTAGAGTTTGAATCTAACTACTTTTTTAATCAAGGTCTTTTTAATCAAGGACAAGTACCACAACATAATTAAAACCAGAACCATCAAGATAATATCCAGAGTTGTTAGCAATTAATGAAAAACTTAGTGTTTAATAATAAGCATGTCCAGCCAACTATCTGTAACAAAAACACCATCTCCTGAAATATCAACAACAATGTAGTAGTAATAGTAGTTATACAGGCTTAAGCGAAATCACCTGTTCCTATACAAATCCTTCTGCACTTTGTAATAAAATTAACATTCTTGCTGCAAATGTCGCAACATTAAATTTCCCTATGATAGTAGCACTTACAGAAACTTGGTTTAATGAATACTCTAGCTTCCAGTTACCAAATTACAATCTTTTTAACAACAACAGACCTGACTCATAAGGTGGTGTTGCAATTTATATACGACAAGATATAAAAGCATCCTACTTTATTGCTATTGAGCTTTATGGTAAAATGTCAAGCCAGGTATGGTGTATAATATCTCACAAAAGTAAGAAATTCCTTCTTGGATGTATTTCTCGAGAGCCGTCTGCTAACATAGAACTCAACAGAACAAATTATTGTAGCTTAATTTCTGCTGCAAATATAGCAAAAAAAAAGGGCATGGAGTTACAAATAATTGGTGATTTCAATCAGCCTCAAATACAGTGGACGGCAGCTGGTGGCAGCGCTAAGAGTGCAACTATGTCAAGCACTGACTTTTTGGAGTCTGTAAACCATGCAGCTCTTGCACAGCATGTCACGAAACTTACTTTTGGCAATAATACCATTGACCTGGTGCTTACTAACTGTCCCTTTAGAATTATAGAACTCAATATTGGTCCATCTCTTGGCAGCTCAACTAAAAATAATTTCCATTGCACTCTTATATGGAGTTTCTTATTTGAATTATTAATCTCCTCTACTAGGTTTTTATCACTAACCAAACCAAACTACGCTAGAGGTTATTATAAAAACCTAATCAAACTTTTTACAAATACAGAATGGAGGAATCAATTTGAAAAATTCAAAAACAATCCCATTGTAATAAACCAACTTATTGAGTTTCAAAATAAGGAAGGTCTAGCTGAATATGTACCAAATCAAGTTTCATCAACTCAAAAACAGAGATTAAAACTTTACTTACTTTCAAAACCTAATCCAAAATTGGTATACCTTTATATTTTCAGTCAAAAAAAGCAAAGTTTACTGTTTCCTCATTGATAAAAAATGGCATAGAGCTAACAAAAACGCTTGAAAAAGCAGAATGTCTTAATAAACAGTTTGAGTCTTCTTTTTTCTAAAGTTGACCACAATGATAAGTTCACGTTTTCAAGCAGGACTGATTGGTATGCAAGATTGATGAATTCGATCTTAATGAAAATGTGGTTTTTGTCGAGTTAAGTAAGTTGAAAAAATATTAAGCAATTGGCCCAGATGGCATAATTCCTGATATTCTCAATGTGTGTGCCATTGGATTAGCTTGGCCTATTTCGTTTCTAATAGTATCATTATTTGAGACAGGTATTATACCAAATATTTGGAAAGAAGCGAATGCGATACCAATATATAAAGAAAAAAGTAAATAAAATAACCCATCTGAATATCGACCATAATCTTTAACAGCCATAATATCTAAAATCATGGAAAGATTGTTGAAAAAACATATGATAAGCCACCTAATTCACTACAAATTAATTTTTAAGCATCAATATGGCTTTTTAAGACAAAAATTATGTGTTACAAACTTACTAGAGAAAATAGACATTGCTTCAGAGCCATTGAACCGTGGACTTTATGCAATCATAATATATCTGGATTTCGCTAAAGCCTTTAATAAAGTCTGTCATGAAACGTTATTTTTTAAATTAGAGGCTTTTGGTTTTAAAGGTAAATTACTAAGATGGTTAAAAGCATTCCTTCTGGAAAGAAAACAACGAGTTCTTGTTGACAATAAATACTCTGAGTGGATAAAAGTTCAAGGTGATGTGCCACAAGAATCTGTTCAAGGTCCCTTACTATTTATAGTGTAATAAAATGACATGCTAGATGTTATCAAATGTTCACTCAAGCTCTTTGCTGATGACTGCAAACTAATAAATACAATAAAAAACCAATATGACATTGAGCAGCTCAAGAACTATCTTGATGCTGTGGCTAAAGGGGCAGAAAATTGGAAAATGGAATTCAATGCAAACAAATGCAAAGTATTAACGATAAAAAAATCTGAAAAAACATAAACCCATGATCACAAACTCAGCATACAAAATCAAGATAATAGCCGCACATACTTGTTGTCTAACATCCAAGAGCGAGATCTTGGAATTTTAACAACTACCAATTTAAAATGATACACCCAGTCTAAACATGCAGCATTCAAAGCTAATGCAGCTCTAGCTCACTCAAAAGGACGTGTAGATACTGGAACCCTTCAATGTTAAAAACACTATATACCACGTTTGTAAGACCACACCTTGAGAATAGAAAGCCTGCATGGGCTCCTATCAACAAAAGCGATGAAAAAGTAATCGAACAAGTACAAAGAAGAGCCACCAAGTTATGCTGTTCATTAAGAGGAAAAAAATATGAAGATCAATTAGCCCTACTCAATTTCAATCAGTCAAAGCACTTAGCACACGGGTAAATGCAATTCAGTACTTTAAGGAGAGTACTGGTAAAAATGTTACGTCCTATATGCAACAACCCAACAAGTCATGATCTGGTAATTGTCCTCGGCCAGCAGGGGCAGTTAGAAGAAATAAGGAGCAACTAACAAAACAGCTCACAAATAATTGTCGTCAAAGAGAATACTTTTTCTTTAATAGAGTAGTTGACGTTTGGAATATACTTCCGAATGTAGTTAAAAATTCCAAAACTACGAATTTGTTTAAAAACAGTTACGACGCCTATTTAAAAAACAATATGAAACTTATAATACAGTTCAGCTGTCATAGTTGACCATATAAATTTGGTCAGCTCCGCTTTATGCTACAGCTCTATCTTATTATTATTATTACTATTATATATATATATATATATATATATATATATATATATATATATATATATATATATATATATATATATATATATTTATATATATATATATATATAAATAAATATATATATATATATATATATATATATATATATATATATATATATATATACATGTATATATATATATATATTTTTTTTTTATTTACATTTTTGGTTTACATAATTTGAATGTTTTTTTAAAGTAATATTTTTTTATAGATTCAGTATTATTCGACAATATTGTGAGCAGTCCCTCTAACAAAACTTTGAACGCTTTTTATGATGAATTTGTGGTTTCTTTTGTACTATATATGGGACATTCCTTCTCATCTGTTTTAAGAATTGTTGATAGTAATGATGAAGATGTGTTAAATTTAGATATTCTTAGTGTTTCTACATTATTAGTTACATTAAATGATGCAATTCTATATATAGACACAATAACACAAAACACTTGGAGTTTGATTGAAATTACCCAAAATTTCATAAACCATTGTTATAGTTATAACATTTCTGTAGCTGTTAATAAAATTGTTCAACATTCTGTTACAAATCTAAAACCAATGGTTTACCGTGACTTGGTTTTGTTAACTTTTGCTCAATGTTTTGATTCCCAATCGTGTAATTCTATTTTTATGAAAAATTTATCAATATACAGTAAAACAGAAGGTAATTAGTTATTTATACTTTTTTTCTCGTTTCATAATACTTTGATTTTTTTATTGATCATACTAAGTAATAATTATTTTACTTTTTTTTTCATGTCATTCATTTATATTTCAAAAAAGATTGACGTTATTGAGAGTATTAGTTGCGCATTATTTTATTTTTATTATTTCTCTTATAATAAGACTAGATAAGTTACTTTGTTATTAAAATAATTAAAATTCAATTTTGTATATATGGATTAATTAAAAATTATTCAGTTTTCAAATAAAGAATGTAACAGTTTTAATTACTCAAAGTTGCTGTTTACACATTTTGCCATTTTTGAATTATTTTAAGTTTTTTTTCCATAAAAAATTTAAAAAATAAATATAAATCTTAGTATTTATAAAATATTTCAATTTTTTATTTTTATATAAACTTACTAAAAGTCATAAACTGCTTTACGAGAGTTTTGATGCCACGCGCAAAAGTAAAATATTAGGAACTATTCATGTGAATAGAAATCGTTTAAATGATGCTTTTTTTTGAACTGTGAAATACAAAATGTTTAACTCGTTTTTTCATCCTCACCAGTTATGAGTCATATTTTAGTTGTTGCGCAATTATTACTTCAATACATTTCATCTTGATTAAAAAGATTAACTAATTCAGCAACAAATTTTTTTTGTCTGCGTTAATAGTCTTTTACAGGTTTTTTCGAATTTCATCAGAAAATTGTTTCTGTTTGTTGTTAAAAAAATGTTTGTAAATACTTCAACAAGTAAGTTTTACAATTTTACAATTTACGATTTAAAAATTTTACACTAATTATTTGATTTTAATTGCATAAGAATGAAGTAACACATTCTTTTACTCTAGATCTACCATATATATTTCAACTTTGAAAAGTTTTAGGCATCAATTCTATCTTGAAAACAACATTTAATAGCTGCAGAAGTTGTCGGATCAAATGTTGCAAGAGCAAGTGGTACACATAGTTTGTTTCTTAAATGACGTCATTTATAAAATAGTTTGGAACCATTTTCTTGTAGAGATGTACCCATCATCATGGTCAGCTAGCCATTTAACTTCAGTTTTTACTTCTCGTATAGCTTTTATAACAAAATTAAACTTTTCTTTTAAAGAAACAATCATGAAGGTCATTACGCCTTTTTCTAAAATTCCTGCATCTAGTCCTATCATTCTACCACCTTAATCCTGCGCTTCTTTATGCAAACATATTTAATTTGTTTTTATTTATTTATTTTTTTCTTCAGTTTTTAATTAATATTCATAATATAAAAATATAACAATATATAAACTTGGTATCTGAAAGGTAATCTTGTTGCCAGAACCATACAAAATATATCAAACGTGTATATATATATTTAAAAAAAAATACAATTGATTTAATAACTATTAACAATGTAGAATAAACAAAGACTGAACAATTTTACAAACTATTCAGAGTAAAAACAGTTTTACATTTCAAAAATATTTATATATATTTCCAGTAGAAAGAATATAGTTTCTTAATTTAGTTTTAAAAACGGAAAATGAAATTGACAAATTAAAATTCGGAACAACAATTTTGTTTCATAAGTACAGAGCCGTCTTGAAGGGGGACGTAGAAATGTCCCATCTCCAAGGCTGATATAAAAGCATTTGAGTTGACATATTAAGCAAGTTTTGAACTATAGTTGGCAAATTGCAAATATTGAGGACCTTCTTTTTTATCTTTTTTTTTTTTGTGTGTGTTTTTTGTGTTTTTAGTTGGCGAAATAAACATACATGCTCCCCCCCCCCTCCCATGGAAGGCCACTTCGGAACGGCCCTGAATAAGTATGGGGCTCAACAGTTTATGCAAAATTGATTAAATTAATTAAAGGGTTTAATTTATAAATTATTATTTCGTAAATTGAATTTGTTTATAGCTTCATGGGTAAATGATCTTTAAAAATATGTAATCCGTCAGTAGTATAACATCTTTATTAAGTTGATCTTAATTTAACAAACAGTTTAAACATTTTAATGGTTTTACCCCACGTTTTTTTATTTTTTTCAGGAGGCTAAATGGTAATAGAGGAAACTGTTCTAATTAAAGTTTAAAAGTCTGTGCTGATGTGTATTGAGAAATATGGAAAACTCGTAAAAGATTTGAAAACATTGGCCGTTCAACTAGTTTTTTGTATTTTACTTAATTGAGTTTAGTTATTAAATTATTTGACAAACTATTTATTCAACAGAATTTTTTTGGCTGGAAAAAGACTTTTTTCTCCAATACACAGCCAATACTTTAACCAATGAGGCAATTGAGCATAAGATTATTTAGAGAACAATTAAACATGCATATATTCATCAAATAAAATTTTTTTTGTAACTTCTAAAATACCTATATTTTAATTAGTTTCCAACTTTAAAAAAATATATTTGTCATTTTATATTTTAGGATGATACTCTATAACGTTAAAGTTATTTAAGTTATTTAAATAGTGAATTTCATTTATTTTTTAAATATACTAAATTCATCTTGATTATTTGATATATGACGGACAGACGGTGGTTTCCTTCTTTTTGATTTAGTTGGATTTTTTTCAGTTAAGCAGTAAATAGTTGCAACGGATTTTAATCTCAAAATAGTCTTACTCATTTGCCAATTTTTAAATATTTTTGTTAAAAATTTTAGGACAAACAGCTAAAATTTTTACTCGGCTTCTATAACTTTAGATTGATAAATAATTTAGGATTATTTTCCGAAAATCCAAAAAGTTGATGCTTACAAGAAATAAAATCAATTTGACTCTTTCTTTTTTTTATGTCTAGTTTTACAGTAAACTGCAGCAAATGTATTAATCATTTATGAATATTTAAACAAACAACTTTAAAAGACGTTTAAGAAAGTCTAAAAGTTACCCTACCAATATTTCGCTTCAAAAAGCAAGATTCCCAGCAGTGTAATTATATTGGGCTATGAACATGGAGATACAAAAAACCCTAAAAGACAATTTATTTTAACCTTTGTTGAAATGGCTTCCACTTCTGTGATGTTGTCAATAGATGCAGCTGGTACCATACAACCACATTTTGTTGTGAACTTGAAACAGCATATCATAGTAGAACCTTAATTTGTTTTACTTTGAGAGTTCAGTCTTAAGAAATAATAATTTTGAGACTTAAGATCTCTCATATTTTAAAAAAATTAAATCAAAATAACTTCTTATTGGAGATAAATTGACACCGTACCTATTCATCGAAACATTTAGACTGCAAAATCATTGACATACGGTTTATAATATTTTCAGCAAATTCAGCTAATCTTACTCGATTAATTAACCTTGCTTCTTTACAAATGGAATGGCGGTAAATATCAGAAAGCTGGAAAAATAGACTAGAAAAATATGCAACAACTGTTTCAAAAAATAAGTTTCCCAAGGTGTTGAAAAAGTTGTGCTTTTTATTAAAAAGAAAGTTTTATTGCTGGTTTTAAGAAAACTGAACCGCTTCTTTATTTTTAAAGCCGTTCACAGTCTTTTTTGCTTTCAGTTATATATATATATATATATATATATATATATATATATATATATATATATATATATATATATATATATATATATATATATATATTAAGAGTTTATTTTCAAAACGCGGTATGCGCCAATTTCAAAAAAACTGCGTTAAGTGTTTAATTTTAAAGAGAAAACTAAATCCTTTCAAGTCATATTTGTAACTAATTAATTAGGCATAATTTTTTATTTTTTAATTTAGGCTCTAAAAATAATTTATTTTCAAAACGCGGTATAATTTTTTTCGTTTATTTTGATTGTGCTGTATATTTTTTTGACCAATCCGTGCTTATATAAAGTTACTCCACGCAAGCGCAGTAAGCTTATTAAATAATAATAATAAAGATGGCTGATTTGGATGGTTTAGATGAAAGTGTTGTGTTACCGTTAAAATCACGAAAAAGAAAAAAACAATGTTCTGCAAGAGAGAAAAAAAAGTTATTTAGACATTTAAGTGGAGGAAAAATTCCTTCTATATCATGTAATCATGTTTCAGGTTACTGCAAAGTGAGTTTTTTTTGGTTTTATCGATCTTCGTATGTTGAAATTTATAATTTAGTTATAAGTTTAAAGTTTTAATATACACAATGTAAAAATAATTCGCATAGTTTGTGTTTATGGCGAAATAATCATTTATTGATAGACTTATTTCAGGCTCGAGATAAAACACAGGATATTTTGCTTAAACATCATACAGAATTTTATAGTATTGCATCACAAGATGCTATCATATCGTCAATGCTTAATATAATCAATGTTAAAAGAGTCAGAGTGAAATATAATAATCGAAAAAAGTTAAGAACTATGAGTATTAAGTACTTTTTATGCTGCGAGGGAATTAAAGTACGAGTCTGCCAAGCTTCATTTTGTTCAGTATTGTGTAAGTATAAAATTACTTTACTTTTAATTCAGAAATAGAATGTATATTTTGTTAACAAAAAATTAGTGAGACAAAATTAATATTATATTCATTTATTCCAGCCATAAAACCTGATAGAGTTTTAAGAATTGCAAGACACTGGAATGAACATGGAACAACCAGACCTGAAAATAGAGAAGGAGACAGGAAGAAAGTAGCCTTTTCTCAAAAGAATAAGGCTATTATAAACCATATTCAGTCTTTTACTTGCAGAGCAAGTCATTATGGAAGAAAAGGTGCTCCAGGACGTAAATATTGGCCCTCTGATTTAAATGTAAAGCGGATGCACGAACTTTTTTTGGATAAAAACAATACTTATACTGTAGGCTACCATTATTATTATGGGGTATTTATGAACGATTTCAATTTAGCTTTTGGATACCCAGCAACAGATACATGCTCTACATGTCAAACATATAAGTTGGCTATAAAAAACAAAAATATTACTGATGACCAAAAAAAATTAAAAACTGCTCTTTTCATTCTTCATCGAACGAAAGCCAGAAAATTTTATAGTCTTCTCAATGATATTTATC